TGAAAGCTCTTTCAATTCGACATTCATATTTTTCAATTTTTCACAAGGGAAGAACCTCGATTCGAACACGACTACACGAGGCACAAGGCCACGAAGAAAAATAAACATTGCACAAAATCAACCCCAAACCTCCCTAAATGCCAACTGATGTACATATTGATGTACATAATTCATCCGTGTAACCCAGGGCTTCTCGGTCAAAATGTTTTGGGTTACCTGTAGAAATGCCAACTTCTGTCGCCCAAAACTACGACGACTACGACGAAAAGGAAAAAAGACCATGGCATTTTAAGACTCCGCTGCGCATACGCAGGCGGAGTAATAAAGCTGCAGGATTAGATAATATACCAGGTCGCTTGCTGAAATTATTTGCTTCGATTATTGCACCATCCCTTACATAGATCTACAACCTATCCCTTTTTACTGGCATATCCCATATGAATGGAAAACTGCAAAAGTTACTCCATTATACAAGTCAGGTGATCGAAATCTTGTGGGGAACTACAGAGCAATATCAATCCTTTCTATTATTGCTAAAATCTTTGAAAAGGAGGTACACAACCAAGTGTATGTGTTCCTGTTGGAACATAAGTTATTAAACAAATATCAACACGGCTTTTGGACCAAACGTTCAACGAACACGGCTCTCTTCAAGGTATGGATAATAGTTGTGTTACTGCAGTCGTATTTTTAGATCTTGTGAAAGCATTTAACACAGTACGACATGCCATCCTTATGGAACAACTTTTGCTTATGGGAATCTCTGGAGCTGAACATGCATGGTTTGGTTCATATCTGTCTCACCGTAACCAACATGTTGTATATGATGGCGTTCTTTCCGAAGTTCAACCAGTTGAACTGATCTAAAATTAATCTCCCAATGGCTTGAAGATAACGGCCTTGTCATAAATCCAACAAAAACAGAGTTTATGGTAATCGGAACGCACCAAAGACTTAGCCGGTTCCAACCTTTGGAACTTTATTTAAACAATCATAAAATCAAGAAAGTCAGTTCTTCTAAATATCTTGGCATTATCCTTGATAGCAATTTAACTTGGACCCCCCACGTTGACAACCTGTATTGTAAAGCATCACACAGAATCGGAGTTCTAAGGCGAATTAGACGGTTTATTAATACTGAGACAGCTAAACTTGTTTATAATGCAACCATCCAACCGATATTTGATTATTGCGATGTGGTTTGGGGTAATTGCAACACAGCTTCCTCAAAAAAGTTACAAAGACTACAAAACAGATCCGCACGCATCGTAGAGTTGAACTTGAAGAACAAATAAGGCTTCACTCTGGCATAATCTTCGAAAGAAAAAAATGGAGGGTGTAAACATCAGTTCAGTTCGCCATGAAGATGTACACAGTTATAACACCATGCACAAAAATGACCTCAATAAGCTCCCAAAGCCTAAGACTGAAGTTATGGAACAGCCTGAAGTTATGGAACAGCCTACCAGGCGATGTAAAAGTCTCATTTGGAACATAACTGTTCAACTCAATATAGTTATAAATTATAGGTATACTATTAATATTAGTACTTAATTTAATATAAACTACAAGTATGCATACATTATTATTTTTAATATTAACACAAAATTTAATTATTCTATATCCTTCTAATATGCAATAGTACTTTTATCATTAGAAACAGCTCTCTAAATTTGTAAATAGTTTAGTCATAATGATAGTTTTATAAATAGTAATGGTAGTTTGTAATTAGACAGGTTCACTTTGGGAGAACAGTAATTTACTGATTGTGACTCCTGCATAAATAAAGCTTCTATTCTATTCTACTCTATTATATGCACGTTTTACAAGCTTATTATAAAACTTCAAAATACATACAAACCTTAAAAAAAAACCTTGACTATCTCAAATTGATAACCCTAATCACGATTGAAACCCTCACGGTTGATGCATCGCCGAACATCGACCCACAGAAGTTTTTAGGACCCTGGGTAGTTTACTACCCACAGATGACAATATTGCACTGTAATTCTGTAATTCCTCGCCAAAAGTCCAAAACACTTCGACCATACTTGTATTAATTCATGACTATGGTGATAAAACGAAACTTTAACAATAATAACCAACCATACTACATAAGTACAACCCACGACCAAAACACACTTAAACCTCGGATGTCCACACACAACCATAATTGACACGTAAACCCCCACCATCCCCAACACAGACTTTGACACCTGACCTCAGTGACGTAACATACTAACGCATTTTATGCACACATGTGTAATCCCTGACCCCTTTTCGATCAAGCCTCTTGAATGAACACAAGCTCTGCTCGTAAGCAAATCCAAGCCGATTTTTAGTAAATTTCTACTTGGTTTTTTTATATCAACTCTGAGATGGCTCACCACGTTGGTTTATCCAAGGTCAACAAAAGCTTTGGTAAGACACACAGTTTAATTTTACCATTTTACCTTTTATGAATATACTCTTGTGCAGGTTTGATTCCTTATGATTCTCCTATAAACACACACCACTTTTACTCACTTCTTATCTTCATGGTTCTTTCACACAAAGCCAACCCTGCTCCCCGCTGACGAGTCCACAAAAGGATGAAATGCCGCGTACGGGGATACTGATTCACATGCTTGCCTATCTTGTCTTCTGTTTTACTTCTCTACCTACCTCCTTACATAACTTTGATTTAAACACCACCAACAACACTACACAACTTATTACTACACACGTAACTACATAGTTTCTTGAAGAACTCCATCATATGCCCGTTAATACGCAAAATTAACTATTCAACAAATTACTCGTCCTAACTTTTTTCTTTATTTCGTTTAATTTAAACAATTGTTACATATTAACTTATAACTATATAAGAATTACAATATGGTTCCAATCACCTATGTCAAACATAAAATAAACAACGACAACGACAACAAAAATTGAAATTGTATTAAACCAGAAAAATTCCAAGCAATTCTCAATTATTTACCTCCTACGGACATAACTACTGGCCTGGAATAATTTACGATGAAATATAAATTATCTTAGCAAAACGAAAATTTACAAATCACTCAAGAAAAAAGCTGGGAAAAAGCTGGTCACAGTACTCCATGATTGTTTTAAAATTTTACAATGTCTCTTTAATCTAAAATTAGAGTGTTTACCAACTTTACAATGATTACAACATTACAATACATTGAAAAGCAATGCCAATTAAACATATAACAATTAATTTCACTTTTTTCACAAATTTCAAGCAACTTTGAAAAAATGGGATACATTTGATTCATATCACAATACTATTCTTTAAAAGATAAAATACAAATGAAATTTATTTTCTCATGTCTAAAGAATCCAAACATCTGAACACAAAAAAGCAACCACATCATTCCACCCGCATGCATAATTAATTTGTAAAAATCACATTTTAATTTTACTACACCATCGTCAAACGGGAATGTGATCGGATTTTTCCCTCTGCACCTTTGACCCTGCTATGACGTCATTCAGTGAACATGACACCACCATCACCATGCGCGTAAGTATTATCGCAAAGTTCAAATTCACTCAGTCGGCTCAACCAAGGCTTCGGGTAACTTTTTCGCTCCATCACCACAAGCTGACGTGTGACCTGTTTGCCATTAACTTCATTTAATTAAGTTAATATCTTTAAAACAGGTCACATGACATGCAAACGTGAACCAGTAAACTTCCTTTTTTCACACTATCTCATTTTTTGAACAATCTGGACGGTTAATGTTATGGTACCCCCATCCGTAGAGCCTGATTTCTTGCGTAAACAGGATGTGACATCATTTGTTGTAATACTAAAATATAATAAATGTGTGCTGGTTCAGGCTCCCCCCAAAAAAAATCACATCAACTACTTTATAACCTATGAAATGCATATTTGTTCAAAAATAATTTTGTGTGTGAAAGGAAAATATGACTGCAGTGATCAGTACTTGTTTATTTCACTGTATTCTAGATTTTTTTGAGGAAAAAGATTTAGTGTTTTGGCTGCAATGTGAATGACACAGATATTACATAGTTGCCAACCCTCTCGTATCTCGCTGGAGACTTCCGCATATGGATGGATACTCCAGCATTCGAAATTTCTCCAGCATTACCACCACATAATTCTCCAGCATTTCTGAGTCTGTGAAATACTGACTTGACTTCTTATCAGGAAGTTTGTATTCCCAAACTGGAAATTTATTGAGTTGTAAACCATTATCCGGGCACACGCCGGGTCAGCAAGTTCAAAAAATGTGTCATGGCGTTGAAGCCAAAAATTTTGTTGAACCGCACGTGTTTGGGAGGAAGTCTGGTTACTAGGAAGTAACTACGTAAATATGCAGCGTTTGTGCGAAATTGATACGGGGTACGGAAATATTGGAGGGAAAATTGAAAAGTTCGTAATTTGCGCTTCAAATTGGTACCCAATATAACCATTTAAACTGTCCTTACGCCTTCATGCAATCCAAGACAAAGTAACCTATTTGCGTAATGTGAATTTATTATGAAAATAGCCGTATTTCGGCTCCATAAAACTTTTGCGTTTCATGTATAAACAAGATATATGGGCGCTTGATAGAATGCCTGTTATTGAGGTAAGAATCGTATGTTTTTTGTTTTTCGTCTTTATCTTGCATTTAGCTGAAATATTAAATTTAATGTGTCAACTTTTTGACAAACCACCATGTTGAATATGAATATGTGAACTTTTATGTAGAAACTGCAGCACATGATATGCTGGCATGAATCAGTATAAATAGGATGTGTGTGTGCTTCTGGGATTCCTAATTGTCAATGTAAGAACCCTTATATATTATTTTTCACGTTTTTCCTCCTCCACAGATAAAGATATGTTGTTTAGTCGATAAATGATTCAACTTCCAGCCATATAATAAGCTGTGTTGTTTATATTAGTAGCTTTAATATTTGTGGAAAACGCCAAGTAGGAGAAACAACCGATTCCCAGTAGCTGAATTTATGAAAGCTCAGAACGCCTTGCTTGCAGCAGAGAAATCTGTCCTTAAAAAAGAAATCAGAGGAAAACAGCAGAAAGTACGAAGGTTGAAGTCAAAGGTAGACGCATTTTTATAATGTAGTATATATAGCAGACAGACCCTTAACCTATGACCCCCATTGACATTGTTTACAATTTCGTGTTATTCATGTTTTGCATTTTAAGCGGGCATAACTTGCAGTTTAATTATTTATTTATTTTTAGCTAAGCAGAACATCGTCAAAATCTGAGGCTTTGCTGCAAGAGGTGAACAAACTGCCAAAAGAAGTCAATGTAAGTATGAATACTTTAGTTGCAATTAACAATGCAACTGAATATACGTTCTGTACGATATCGGATTCCTATCGCAGGAGGCCAAATTCTGTAGGTATTAAACCTGACGAGCGAACCGGTATGATGTAAACGCAATCATAGATATAATGTAGTATAGTAAATTGTTTGGAAAAAGACCGTTATATTGACAATCTGTATATTGTCATCATGACGTTTCTTTTAAACAGCTAAGGTATCCTATTAGAACACCAACACCACCAAACAACCAACAAAATAATGTTGCGTCAAGGTCAACCCTCTCAAGGCGAAGAGAAGAGACATTCGTTGCTGCATTATCTATAAATGGTGGAACTTTGCTCAACAAACGACCAGCCTTCAATGGTCTTTTTGATACGCTCAGCAAGAAGTGCAAATTAGATGATCTTGGTAACTATGTATTGTCTAATGATAAGCTCACTTCCTATGTTATTGAGCAAAAGCAAAAGAAAGACAGGTTTGCATTTGAAGCTAGTGAGGAAAATAACTTAAGGAGCATAGCCACATATTATACTGCTGGGGTAATGGGTAAAAGGAAGTACCAAGCCGTACGATTATCCTCTACAATGAAGTTTGTAAATGCTAAAAGAACAGCAATTACTTTTATGTCTAAATGTCCCATTCCGAAACTCCTTACCTACAATAAGTTAGCTGCTAAGCTTAAAGAAATTAATATTGGGAAGGTGTATTCTGTGGAGGAGATGTTTGATGATTATATAGAAGCTGGTGAAAAGGTGAATGGTTGTTTTAGGGATTTGGGAGAATATTTGCCCAGATTAGCTAGATTTTACTTAAGTACTGGGACCCGGGCTAAAGCTTTAAATTGGTTTGGTAAACCCGTGGGTACCTTTCTTGTTGCATGGGGTGGTGATGGGTGTCCATTTGGCAAAAATGGTAGTGCTTGTTCTTTTCTCATTAGTTTTCTTAATGCAGGCAAGCGAGTAGTCTCAAGTAGTGATAATTTTCTTGTGTTTGGGGCAGACTGTGAGGAAACATCATTAATTGTTAGAAAATACATACTTGCCACATGTAAGCAGATGGCAGACCTACAGGGGAAAATATTTGAAATCAATGGTCTGTCTGTCACATTTTCATTTGAGGAAATTCCCAATGATATGAAAATGCTGGCTATGCTTGGTGGAGAGTTAAATAATGCAGCAACATATTTCTCTACTTTTGGCAATGCAACTCTGGATAACTGTCGCGATGTAAAAGGAACTTTCGGAAAGGGACCTTCTTGTACCTGGAAGGCTTGGTCTTATCAGGACAGAATTAAGACTGCTGCTGCTGTGGAAAAATTTAAAGACTCTCTGAAGAAAAAGACTGTCTCTGATAAGACTAAGCGTTCGAAGGTGACAGATTTCATTGCCAAAAGGAAGAGTCGTCAAGAATATGCACCATTGATTGGAAATTGATTGACAAAGCCCATGTAGAACCCCTTCACTTGAAGAATAATGCATGGCAGTATTTCTTTAAAGCAGTTCTGCGCGAATCAATTGGTAAATCAAACATAGAAACATGCAAGTCATTTTCAGATGTGCCAAGACATTCCTGCTTTGCGAAAGTTGTCTTTGCTCTGCAATATGAAGTTAAGGCAAACCGGGTGGCGAAGAAAGCAATAAAGTGGTATAATGAAACTCAAGCTCACCGAGCAGATTTCGCTTATCGCTTCACCGGCAAAGATTCCAGGCTTTTCTGTCATAACTTCATGCGGCTGATCAAAGCAATGAGTGATTCAAGTGATTCCCGAGCACAGCAGCAGAATGTCTTGGTACTTGCATACATTGGCCTAAGGTTGAGAGATGCTTGCTCTCTTTTTAATAGGTTTATTATTAATGAAACTAACATTAGTGATTTATCTAAAGCAGCATTGGAATACTTTCGTGCAAATTCTCTATTTGTACCAACACAAGTAACACCTACTATATGGACAATAGGTCATGTAGTACCAGTGCATACAAAGTACATGTATGATACATATTGTCAGGGTCTTCTTACTGTTTCTATGGAGGGACGGGAAGCTAAGCACATTGCTCTACAGCGACTAAGTGCCAACACAACCTATCAGAACCGCTGGAGTGAAATATTTAGGCATGAATATATAATGTTAGTTTGGCTCCCAGAGCATGGCCATGAACCATGCTCCAATACACCAGGCAAGGATAACTACATCCCTGAGAGAGCTGCTAATGACCCAAAATATTGTTATTGTGGATTAGAGAAGGTATCGTCTGATGATGAGAAGTGTACTTTCTGTGGCCATGATGTAACAGCTTTAATTGATAAAAGTGTACAAAAAGCTGAGATAGTCACTGAATTATTAATTAACTGACCAGTTGCAACATGAAATTCTGCTGCATATTTAAATGTGAAATATTTGGATACTTTAAAATCCAATTGGTCAGTTAGCTTATTAATTCACTTGCAAAAGAGTATATTAAAAACTTGTGCTTTATGATGTTTAACATTAAAGTTTGTAACTAGAGTATGAAGCTTAATTTAGATGAGTTGGGGAAATGCATGTTCAAATGCTAACATTTCAAAGGAATCTCAGATATTTATACTGAACATGAATTTCGATTTGCTTGTTGTTCAAGTTTATGCAGTCTGAATACTTGTACAAATAGTAAAAATGTTTTTAACCTGTGCAGTGTCTGTGTACATTTCCATTACTGTGTGTACATATTATCTATTCATTGTCTTTCTTTTGCTATTGCTCAATAATACATTATACTATATAATTAGAATAATCTAATTTTTTTAGTGATGAAATATCAAAAAGCTAGGAGAGGCCAAAGTTTCAAATAATACAAAAAGTTTTTCTAAAAATATCTTTTATTGAAAAGGGCACACTTACATAAATTTAAGATGTGTCATTATTTTAATATAACATTCGTAAATATTTTATGATAACGATTGTGTATATTCATATATATAATAATAATGTTTTTATTTCTGATAATTCTTGAAATGATGAAATATTAGAATATTTGCCATAACTGCTAATTGCAAAAGTGTGAATATTCTATTAAATATATTTGTTTGCAAGGCCAAAGCTACACACAATAATTGGTGTATATTTATATACTCATGTTCACATGAGTACATATTTGGTATCTCAGTTACTTCTGCTTTAGCGCAAGGGCTCTCATCTTTACTAGTGAAATCTGCTGGCATTAGACTGGGCAGAGACTAAAGTAGGGCAAATCAGGGTACAATTCCACCCAATTAATTAGGCACATGGGCCAGTTAACCCATTGTATCACATTGTAACCTATTCCAAGCACTCTGCTTCGTGCTCAGTTAGGATAAGGAATGGGAATAAATATGGATCAGCATAGTCCCGGGCAGGCTGAAACAGCCTGCCCGGGGTGGTGTGACGGAGTCCGGCCCATATATGTCGGGGAAGAGGTGGGTGGGTCGTTCTTCGCCACACCACAGCTGTCGTTTTTTATTAACTGAGCCAGAAGCCAGTGCTTTCCTCAAAACGTGGTATTTATAGCTGTTTTATGACCTTTGTACCCTCGTCATGCATTTATTTCCGCTAGATTAATTGAAATATTCCATATCCTAACTTTGCATCTCATTATCTGCGCTTTGAATAGTAACCTATTCCAAGCACTCTGCTTCGTGCTCAGTTAGGATAAGGAATGGGAATAAATATGGATCAGCATTATCCCATTCAGTTTCTTCCACACATGTATTCTGTCACTCCTGTAATGCATCCCCGAACCCTCATGCCCAGACCTTAATATTCCAATTCTCAATACCCCAAAACTCACTCTCCAAAACTAAACATGTCCAACGTCCCCCAAAATTTCAGAGGATGGTGAGGAAGAAGAGCGAGTTTTTTGTGCTCAGCGTCAATTGTTCAAATGAGGGCGCTTAAGGCTATTACCCGGAGGAAACGCACAAACGAACTATTTTAACTCATTGAGATCTTGCAACGTATGAGTTGTTTCAACGCTGACGTTAGAAGCTAATTTTGCGGATGCTCCACAAGGATTTAAGACCTTGGCCAGCTGCATATAGTGTAATGCCGTATGACGCCGAGACCAGCCAACATGGTCCATAATTTCGGAGAGTTCTGCACCTGAAAGAGCTAAAGTGATAGCGCATCCAGACCGAAAACCGTGCAGGGTCTCACCTTCGTCCGCTTTCATCTCGCGCAAGTAAGTCTTCAACCGCGCTTCCACCGTAGAAGAGGTGAGAGGAGAGTCCTGGATTCCACCCTGAGGGGTAGTTGGGCGGAATAAATAACCCGAAGTTAGTTCAATTCCGAGTTGACGGGTTGTATCCATATATAATTCGATCCCACGAATGGGACAAATAGCAACCTGTGGATTGCGCCGAATACCGAACACATTAGCGTCACCATCTCGGAGAGTCTTTCCCCACACATGATTAAAGAGAAAGCCGTCGTCGTTTGGGAATCGTAGAATCTCTGGTACCTTAACCTGTCCTAGGTCACCCGGACGGTCGCCGCTAAAGAACGCCATCTTAAAATAAGCTTGGTCACGAGCAACAATGTATTTGTCGAGTGGTTTGACCGATTCCTGCAGTTTCCGGTCCAGGTGTAAGGATAATTGTGTCAGTTTATCCACAAAGAACGGGGTGGCCTGTTTCGGAGTTACTCGCGCTCGGAGTTGTTCGGCAGTGATCACACGCAAGTAGTCTTTTACCATTTTGTCAGCAGCAGGGTTTCCTAACGCCAGGCGCTTATCCCATTCACCATCACGGCCCATAGCGTGGAAAATCGCGCGAAGTTTACCAATGTAAGAATCGACTGTCTTATAGGACAATCGGCAGGGGCAACCACAAGAGTGAGTACCTTTCTGTCCTATATAGCTACAGCCTTGTTGGTGGACTTGGGTCTTACCATGTCGGTCCTTGAAAATAAGGAATCGGCAAAGGTCACGAGGTGTGACGGTCTCCAAGGTGGCATAGGTAGGAAGTACACTTAAGAAGGCTGCTAATTCATTCTTTAGTGAGTCTTTTTGTTTGGCATAGTTTGTAGCACTGTCCACGGCCAGTAGTTGTTGTAGACGAGAATCAATGGCATCGAGGTTACATTCAGTTGGGTTAAACTTTGCTCGTGTAATAGTGTTGCGATGATAACCGCAACGTTGGCAAAAACGGAAGTCATGATCATTGGCATGATGGCAGGAAGGGCATCGAACCGAGGGACAAAATAGTTTTGCAATAAAAGGGAGAGCCTGTAAACAAGGAGAAAATACTAAAT